GTTCAAAGTGGGGATCCAGCCTTGACAGTTCCTCTGTCCCCCTCTCCTGGATTACTTCCTGCAGCCCTCCCCGTGCCCCCCACCGCCGCAGCTCACCTCCGCTCCGCCTGCTCCCCTGAGTGCGCCACCACCGCTGCTCCGCTTCTCCGCAAAGCAGCTGATTCATGTGGCAAGCCTAGGAGGGAGGGGGGAGCGGGCAGTTCCTCTGCCCCCCCAGGGTTACTTCCTGCAGCCCTCCCCGTGCCCCCCACTGCCACAGCTCACCTCCGCTCAGGGCTGGCTCCTGGCTTTCTGTACTTCAAGGTGGGGGGAGGGGGAGAAAGGAGCCGGAGTGCTGCCCCTTGGAAAGTGCTGCCCCAGGCACATGCTTGGAGCGCTGGTGCCTAGAGCCGGCCCAGTTTCTTTCATTCGATCAAAATTATTTGGCGATTTCGTGTTGAGTTCATGAATAGTTTCAATTAACTCAAAATAGCATTTTTCGGTGAATAAACTACTAGTCCATAAAATTTTGCCCAGGCCTAGTTTATATAATATGGCCAGTGGGTGATAAAGGATTAATATAGTAAGTTCTGCAAAGCTCTTGAGTAATGTATTCAAGATGCTATGGTGCTGTTAATTTAGATCTGCCAATTTAGGTCAAGCCATCTATAATATTTCCACATTATTTTTAATATAATTTGATTTACTTAATTATTTTAGGTTCTTAAATACAACCATTTTGCAGTTATTTAATAGATCCCATCATTGCCCTCTGGCAGGTGTTCTCTATTTGTTCAAAATATGTAATGCTAATTTACCAATTGAGTAACACGCAATAAGTAGGAGATTGATTATATTATTCCGAGTTGCCAAGAATAGAACAGGCATTCTAACCTTCCCTCCTCCAGCAATTTTCTGGAAATATTCCAGTTTGAGGCTTTATGGGCTTGATTCAACAATGATTCTTACCTCATTTACACCAGTGTAAATCAGGAGTAACTCCACTGACTTCAATAGAGTAACACCAATGCATGTTTGACCAGAATAAAGCCTTACAGTTAAGTAAAACAGAACTAAATGCAACCCTCACCCTCCACACCAGACTTCCCTCTTCAAGTATTAAGAAAATGTCTTACAGATTTTTGTCCATATCATTCAACTGGCTTTCAGAAAGGTGTGGAACACTTCAGGAGACAGGATTAAGTGACAGTAATAATAATTATTTCCATTTTTATTGCATCTTTCAACTAATCATCTCAAAATACTTCAAATAGTAATTCATTTTACTGAAGGCTACACTAAGAGGTTAATTGTCTTGCACGGGGTCACATACCAAAAGCTCAACTTTGCTACCCTTGAAATCATTGGGAGGTCAATCACTCGCAAAGCTGAGAATTCTGTGTCACAATCTCCTCCTCTAACCAGCTGACAACAACCTGGGACAAAGTCTCCTCTCAGTTACACTGGTGATCTATCCCACTGTGTTCCAAAGGTGGTAGGGGGTGGTGCAGAATCACTGAATTGTAACTAAGAATTTTGGCCCTTGTATCTCACTCCAGGATTACACCCTACCCTGAATGCACCATGAAAGAGATCCCACAGAAGGTAAAAGCTAATGCAAAAGAGACAACTTTATATAAAAATAGGAAAAATTAAGAGTAAAATTAACTCAAAATTTTAGAGGTACCTCTTTGTTGACCTAATTTGAGATGCAAGAATTTATACCACTGTTGAACTGCTCTTAAACATAGACAGTGTAACAAACAAGAAGTCAGGCGATTCTAATTTAAAGTTTGTTTTGTTTTGTGTTTTGACTCCAGCCACTAGGATGACCAGATAGCAAGTGTGAAAATTCGGGATGTGGTTGGGGGGATAATAGGAGCCTATGTAAGAAAAAGCCCCACATATCGGGATTGTCCCTATAAAATCGGGACATCTGGTCACCCTACCTATCATTAATACTCATCTTTATTACCGTACATTATTGACCCTTCACCGAGGTCAGTGGAGGCCCATCAATGTAGTTGAAAGCAGAATTTGGCTTACCATGTTTTCAACTGGTTGGAGAAGAGAATTGGGATAAACAAATCCTGTGCTCTACTTTGCTATTGACTTTAGGACAGTACTCCCATTTAAAAACTATTGCTAGATTAGCTAGATAATTCGTTTTAATTTTCTTGACACACATTACCATGACTACCTTGGCAGGACTAATTTTGACCTGCTTATTTTTTATACTATAATCAAATATAATAAAATACAATCAAATTAAGCATATTCTTTTCATTTTCTGCCCAAAGCAAAGCTTAAGTGTTGGGGATTTTGTTTGTTGTTTTGTTCTCTCTCTCTCTCTCTCCCTCCCGACCCAAAAAACAAAAACAAAAAACCCACACCCTCAAACAATAATAAATACCTAAATATGTGGCAAAGAGGATACAATGCTTTGTAAAGGAATGGATTCTCCTCCCAAGCTTTCAGAGAGCAGTGAAGAAAAAATACTTTCTGATATTATAAATATTCCCTTGGAAGTTTTCTTTTAAATTATGATTATAAAATGCACTTTATTTCTCCTTTACAGCAGAATGCTTCCATACATGTATTTGGACAAAACTATTTCTTTTTTTCAAAAGCATACTATGAGCTGGATATAGGGTGCATTTCAGCAATGCAGTTAAACATGTACTTAACGTTAAGCACGAGTAGTGCCACTGACTTCCATAAAATTACCCAATCTTTTAGGTACCTTGCTGAATTGGGGCCACAGTATCTGATCTTGCTCCCACTGAAGCCAATGGAAATTTTCCTATTAACGTAAGTGGGAATATGATCATTCCTAAACTAGTTAATAAAATTCACATCTTGTTAAACGAGCATTCACAATCTGGCTCAGTGACAAATAAGAGGAATATCAACCTTAATCTAAAAATCATATTTTGCCAAATGTTTGCAAAGCTTTGCAAAATTATTTAATTCCTCTTTTTATTTACCCTATTCTTATGTTCACCCCATTCTTGTCTTTTAAGCCTAAAAATAATTAAATATGGCCAAATAAATAAAATAAATAAATCATCAACTAGTATTTCCAACCAGAGTGAAAACAGATGATAACCAAGAAATCTGGCAAAACAGCTTTCAAATAGTATTAAAATGTTCAGTTAACTGATGACCAACTGAAGACAGATCATTTACAGAGATGTTTTGTTTATTTAAGCACTGACATTTATAGGGCACATTTCCTTATTTATGTCCTAGCAGCAAACCAGTTATACAAGAGAAATGAGAAACGGTTGTAATTTTCTATGCAGTCGTAAAATCTGACCATTTATGCTCAACAGAATAACAGTAATACACAAAGGTTGATTCAATTGTCCCCGGTTAATGGCAGATTTAGCCAAAAATTATTACACAGTTTAATGATTACTTTCATCTGAGTTCATGGATTACAACACTGAGACCCAGATCCTATTTCTTTTTAAGTCAATGGGCAAATCACCCACTGATTTCAACAAGATCAAGATTGGACCTTTGGGACCTGATTAGATTCTTATGGACACTCTTTTCAATCTGGTATGATTCCACTTAAGTCAATGGAATTATAATAGTATAAAGTGGTAAATAAATTAAATTAATGGAGATATCCTATCCCCTAGAACTGGAAGAGACCTTGCAAGGTCATTGAGTCCAGCCTCCTGCTTCACTAGCAGGACCAAGTACTGATTTTGCCCCAGATCCCTAAGTGGCCCCCTCAAGGATTAAACTCACAACCCTGGGTTTAGCAGGCCAAGGCTCAAACCACTGAACTATCCCTCCCTCAATATACATGAGAGTAAAGGGCTTTTGGATGCAGCTTCCTTAGAGCAAGGACTAAGGTCGTCTTGGTCATCAAAGCACTATGCATAATCAATAAATAATTATAACTTTGGTCATGCAAAGATATTTGAGATAATGAAATAAATCACAAGGGAGGAGAGTAGAAAGACAGAAGAAACAAAAAAGAATGCAGAAGAAAGGACAGAGAATCACTCACAGTAGCCTGCTGTTTTTCTGCTTTCTCAGTTGCCTCATTAAGCTGCTTTTGAAAGGCCTCCTGGAGAGATTTCATTTCTTCCCTAGATTATTGAAAAGAAACAATACAAACTTCACCACTACTCTCCATTAGGAAATATGGGGTTTTTTTTGTTTGTTTGTTTACTTTAGTTAAACAGACTCATTTAATTATGCAGCATAACAACCAGGAGTGCTGCGTCTATGTGTTTTGTTAAGGCCATAATGGTCCAGTGAACTCCAGTGCGGATGCAAAAAGAAATTTTATATAAATATATATAAAAATGGTAAGTAGCTACCTTTTGTATCTAGCAAGTACCCTCCTGTGTAAAACATCTGCTAATTGTGTAATTTCTAGTGAAAAGAATAGTAACAGTGAAGAAAGGAAAGAGAAGCACTTTGAACAAGGAAATATACTACTGTCTATGAGAGCTTGTTTATATTTGCTTTTAAAGAGAAGAGAAATTCTAGCTGGTAAACCTAAGCCACTAGTTCTCTCTTTCTAGAATCAAATGATAAACTGGAATCTTGGGAGTTGTCTTAATTGTTTAAAATAAACACTACCAAAAAATAAAATAGAGATTTATTGGAAAGTTTAGGTACTAAGATCCAGCCCCTTTGCATTGCTCAGGAAGTGAAAAGGGACCATAAACTGGCAATGCATTGCAAATAGAGGATTCATGTGGAATACAAATTCCCTTCTGGCACAATTATGTCTGATACAAGTCTTACGCTAGCCACCCCCTTCACCCCTAACACAGGCCATTTGCAAGGGTTGTGGTGCTGCTACAACAGTGACATATCTTAGAGCATTCTAACAGCATTATCAGGGATGCCACTGGCACAGATCAACCTCAGAATCAGGAAGCTGGAACCCGTGCCTGCCTTGAGCATGGCTCAGGTGCAGGAGACAGTTTAGCCCAGTGACAGCTTGATGGGTGTAGAATTAGGGTTACCATTCGTCCGGATTTCCCTGGACATGTCCGGCTTTTTTCAGTTAAAAATAGCGTCCGGGGGGGAATTTGTCAATGTCCGGACTTCCCCCGCCCCCCCATGCAGAGCGTGCGGGGCTTACAGGGCAGCCGGCCGGATGGTGCCACTCGCACGGGCTCCGGCAGCCAGAGCCCTTCCTTCACTTCCCCTCTCCTCTCCCCTGCAACTTGAGACCACTCCCCTCCTCTCCCTCCCTCCCCCTGCCCTGCATTCACAGATCGCCGGCCGTTGCCTCGGCCTCCGGCAGTCTGGAGCTCCAACCCTGCTCCCCTCCCCCGCTTCTGAGCACGCTGCTCTGCAGCACAGTAAGGGGGCCGGGGGTCAGAGAAGCGGCAGGAAGGTTCTGGGGGTGGGGGGGTAGTCAAGAGACAGGGAGCAGGGTTGGAGCTCCAGACTGCCGGAGGCCGAGGCAACGGCCGGCGATCTGTGAATGCAGGGCAGGGGGAGGGAGGGAGAGGAGGGGAGTGGTCTCAAGTTGCAGGGGAGAGGAGAGGGGAAGTGAAGGAAGGGCTCTGGCTGCCGGAGCCCGTGCGAGTGGCACCATCCGGCCGGCTGCCCTGTAAGCCCCGCACGCTCTGCATGGGGGGGCGGGGGAAGTCCGGACA